CTTATCACCTTGTAATAGCAGCTACATTATAAGCATAATTATGAAGTTGTATGACATTTATTGGCGAATGGTTTTGTAAATCCTTGAAATGTTTTTTAAAACATTGCCCTTACTTTAGGATGACAATATCCTGTGTTTTAAAGACATTTTACAAACGTAAATTTCACGTGGATACTACCAGATGCGAAACAACTATATGTGGGTCACACAAATAGTTGTCTAGTATCCCCGACGCCGAAGCCAAATACCTTGGCAACTGTGCCGCGGAGTCATCATCATTGTTGCCGGTAAAATTTGAAATCTTTTATCTCATTTTATACAAACACGAAAACTGATTTTGCATCATAATCATACTACAATAAAATACCAGAAATCAGAAATCGAGTTTCCAAAATTTATAAAGCAACAAGCATTTTTAGATTTAACAATCGAGGTACGAGGAATAGGTATATGTTGGATTAACATAATTTAAACAAGTATTACTAAAGTGGTTTAAGCGAAAGCTGGTGTCTACACATAATCCAAAGAGACGCTTTCCATCTTATCTTAACGGAATTATAACGCATTAGACGTCGTCTTGGCTTGGACGCAACGCTTCGACAGTCGCATGTCTCCTCGTGGCAGTGGAGCGAGGTGTGTAATTGAGTTACGGCCCTTTGACACCCGCCTTAACGAGGTTTGCTCCGCCACTTGCGTAGTGTTGGCCCACGCCTCGCTACGCCGAGATGTTCGGCACAATAGTGACGTCTTGGGCGTTGGCGGCAACTTGCGTTCGGTACATACACAGTCGAGCGACCATATTCTCTTGCTATTTCATATGTATAGATCATGCTATTTCGTGTTATTTACTCCATCTGTGTCGTAATTATACCGTTTTTCTATTCTATTCTCTGCTTTAAGGCTGTTTGTTTTTTGTCTAATTTAAATAACCTGTATCATGTTTTATGCTCTCAGCCTTTGGGGAAACTTCGCTTAACAAAATAATTAACATAATACCGAATGAAATCATTAATTGGTACATTATCCAACACTATTTAAAAACATGAATGAATTTAATTACATAAATTGATAAAGCTGTTTCAATCTGAAGAAATCCAAACTATTGCAAAAATAGACAATTTAAGTAGTCCTTTACCGCAATTGCAAACAGGAAAAAATTACACTGTGTTCAGTCTTATTACAATTTCACCGATCGTCACTAGATATTACCATTTTTTTAAATTACGAATAACAATAACGTAAAATATCAACAAATTTAGAAAATATTTTTGAAATATTTTCACCGGGGCACATCTTTACTTTTAAACTTGCGTGTTTAAACTTTGCTTGAACACCGTCAGAAAAATATTGCCTCCGTTATAGCATGTAAGTAAAATAGATAAAAGTGTCTGTACAGTACCGACATTCATTGCATTTCTAACAAGTAATATAGCAGATCATATCGGCATTCCCAGATGGAGTGGTTCGACATCTTCCGCGACAAATATTCCATTTTTGTTGGCGTTTTATTGACATCTTTGTGAGTTGCATGGAAGGGGCGGGCTACATCGCCTAGCGACGCCGTCGTCTCTTAGGAGACGGGTGTGAACCTGATGGTGTTGACGGCAAATCTCTCAATTGAAATTATCACTGGTTTAATGTTAACAGTCTTCAAAAACAGATTGACTATGACTAACCCTATTTTGACTAATATTTTGTTTATTCAAAAAATTCTATAGGGTGGAGTCACATTTTAATTACGATATTATTGGAATGAACTCTTGTAGCTCAGTGTCTGGCTCGCTTTTAATTGAATATACTTGAACAACCTGAATTCAAATCCCGGTGCCGGCACCATCGTGAGAAAACTGCGTATTTTTTAAATAATGATAAAAAAAATATTTCAAAAATATGTGATCCGCCAATACACAGTGGGGACAAGTAGTGGACTATGCTCTAATGCGCTCCGTATAGAGCAGGCCTTTGTTCGGCAGTGGGACATATTGCGTTTTACTTAACTTTAGTAATGGAATTGTTGTTAGCAATACTTCTAAAACGTCCCAACAGTTGAGTAGTAAATTAAGCCCCCTTAATAAACTACTGGGAAGACTTTTACTTAATTGTATATTATTTCAAGACTTGCTGCACTTGGCTACGTGTTGTGAATAAACTAGTTTATATAATGGAACACCATAAATCTTTGCTACGCCTTCATAATTACAAAATATATGAAAGATATTACCCCATACTGTTTGTCAAAACTGTTTATTCTAATTTCAATATATTTCAATGCATTCAGAAAGTTAAAGAATCAAATAACCCTCTTTACATACTCGTATAAATAATATAGAATTATTAAATATAGCTTAGGATAATACCAAAAATTTTGAAAAGAATATTTGTTTACGTGTTTCAGAAAAGCCTCCAATGCTTCTTTCAGGTGTCGGAGGAGGGTCGCGGGAGTAATAATTAATTGTTACTCGAAACTTTTCGCCCAAATTAAATCCCCTTCAGAAGCGTCGGACATAGCGAAGTGACAACGGTCCCGGTTGACAATTTAATATCCAATATATAGAAATGTTCGCCCTCTTCTGTTGGGCTGCGCAGTCGGGGTCGACGCCCTCATATCAATGTCTCGTACTAACAATATCTAATATTAATATTTGAAGTGCAAAATATTCACGCTTTCGAAGAATTGATTATCGTTGAAGTTTACTTCAAATGCTTTACGCTTATTTGACTCAACACAAGTTCTAGTATCTAATTTTAAAATTCTTAAAATGTTATAATACAAGTTTTAAAAGATGAATGAAATACATATGCTGCAGAAATCTTTAATTTTATATACAAAAAATTAGCAACTGAAGATATCTTACCCGAACGAAGTGGATAGAACAAATTATTTAAATGTTATTCTATAAGCTTTGTCTGTCTCAAATCATGACTGTTGGATTTTTATCAAAGTCAAAGGCATCAAACGCCACTAAGCTAACAATTTCCACTTCGTGACAAATGGAAAAAATAAAAATCAAACGAAAGGAATCAATGCACGATAATAAACAAAGATTGGAGGCTACAGACGCTTTGTCTGTCCATGTTGTTTAGCAGTGGGGCCTGCCTACCTCACTTACAACACGAAATAAAAAAACTATCGCATCACGCTGGTCTTCTGTGACACGGCCTTGCAGAAGACCGGCATGTATACCACCGAAACCGGGCGAAGCTGCCTATTCTGGAAACAGCGGGATCAGATACGTGATCTAACCACAAGAATTTTTTTACTTTTAATTACTCCTTGTTAATTGTGAGATAATGATAGAAACCGATAGTGGTTTGTGTTTTATTGACTAATCGGGATATAAATGAAACTAATTTTACGGATTTATCGCGTTTATTTTTAATTTTAATTCGAATCAATAAAATGAAATCTAGGCCATAACGAACCACTACTGCAAGACAAGATACTATTAGCTTAGCCCTCTGCATAGATCGGACACAAAATTAATAATTCAGAAACTGACGGTAGCCCAGGTTAACTATGACAATCAAACTTCGCCCGTGAACCATTTCTCGATGTTTATTTAAAGTCGTCGTGATAATTCGTCCCCATTTTGTATCAATGTTAAAGAAATTAAAGTTTTACTTTACGCTTTAACGTTCGTAACGTACCACAAGTCGACATCGCTGAGCAAAATTTCGCTCCGACTTGATAGGGGTGTCAAGAATAATCTGTGGTTATCTTAAGCCAAGTTTTATATTATAGCTTGTGCTTTATTTTCGCCAAGTTTTATATTTTTGCCAAATTTTATATTATAATTATCGCTACTGTCAGGATGCGAGCCTGTGAATTCCGGATTAGACCGGTTGTCTGACCACTGAGCGTTGGATATCCTCACCATACGAAAACATCGACTCACTTTATTTTTATGGTATTTCTAGCAAAGCTTGGCGCCATTCAAATTACTTTTACAGCATTCGGTATTCGGCGACTTTCCTAAACTTCTATTTGTTGCAATGCTTATAATTTAAACTTCTTCTTAATAACAAGAAAAAAAAATAATAAGAAAATGCCATTGGCTTTTCCTTTATCGCGACTGTCCAAACTTAATTCTTCTATCGATCGGTTGTTATTCATTATGATATCATTATCTTTAATTATAAGCTGTAGATATCATTTTAGTTAAACTGTAACAAAACTTTAATTTCTTTTCTGGTGAAATACGAACTAATCCCTAATATTACTAATAGGAAAAAGAAAAAGTGATCTTACAATATAAAAGCAATTTTACTAAGCAACCCTGGTAAGACGGTACCTCACTTGACGATACTGGCAACGTGATAAACCGTCTTTAATTTAGAAACAACCGAAATGGCTAGAATACGCTGTACGCGCGTTCATAGCAGTGGGCTTTTGGTTAAACTTACTTGCCGTTAAACTAGGTAGGGACCGTAATCGATTACGGCGACATCTAATAACAAATGATGTTATTTATCTTGACTATACTATCTTGATATAAGCGCTCGTTGTACAAAACAACGTGAGATTAAAATTACGACTAATGTAGAAAGCTAATTACGACTAAACATTTAAAAACCATTACCATTTTCTGTACATATGAGGTAAGATAGTATCAGAAAAGGGGGAAACATTTAAATATGTTTTAATGTTATATACCTTACATGGTCTACATAAACAGATATATAATAAACTGCCAATTATTTAAATAACAAAATAATAAAAATAATAATAATAACATACATTACTTTCGATAAATATACCCTTCCGAAGTAAAATTAACTATATAATATCTTATGAACTGCTAGCGCCCCGCCTAGCTTCGCACGGGTGCAATGTATTATACGTGTACATATAAACCTTCCTCTTGAATCACTCTATCTAGTAAAAAAAACCGTTGCTGAAAGATCTAAGGATACAAAGGGACAGTCAGACAGCGGGACGACTTTGTTTTATACTTTTTATGTATTATAACGTCAACCGGGTAATCGTAACATTAACTTACCAGACAACTTGAAAGGCAGGGAACCCATGAGAGGATCTGGCGCGAACCTCGGCCCGAAGTGGAAGGGATGGAAGCCGTGGTGACGCGTCTTAGAGCGTGGTTCTCGCGGTCCATCCACTGTCACCTTGATCGCCTTCTGGTAGGTCGCCACTTGTGGGGGCGACGTCGCCAACATAATGGTGAGTGTGAACGATTTTCCTGAAATAATAGTTGATTTTATTTTACACGCGTTGGCAACACTCAAAGTTTTCCCACGGTCCACAACTTTAGACTGATCCAACTCCAAAGAATGACTCAGAATTACGAAATCTCTGAAGAATATAATGTGTATAATGAAAACTTAAAAAACCTGAAAAATTAATATTGTGCGGGCATTTATACTGATTTCCTCCTGGAGTCTTAGTTCATAATAGTGTTGCTGCAACTTAAAATTTTTGAATAATGCAGTTAAAGTATTTACTGGGTAATATTTTGGTAAATATCGTTTGGAAATAAAGTACTAGCTTCTTGTAATCAAAACGGAAAAAAGTCATTACAATTTGACGCAATAGAATACAATAGACTAGTAATTTTGTTGTAAAACAAAAATGTTATAGTGTATCATAATTTAATCAACAGCTTATTTAAAAACCCATGTATTATTGCTAAATTTACTAAACAGTGCCTAGTAAAAATTCTTTTTATTTTCGTGTTGTTAATATTGGCTAGGTTTTTTTACGACCAGCCAAACAACCATTAACAAACATTAAGATCGCACTGAAGCCATTGGCTTAGATAGTGTGTGTCCGTTTATATAATTAATAAATTATTTTAAATTATAAATTATTTACGTTTATGTAATTAATAAACTACATAAGCCAGTATCGATAACAATTTACTCGATTGCAATTTACTCCCACGCGTCTTTCCATCCGGTTACAACACGGGTGTCATAAAGGCGAGACTAAATGGGATTTAACTCAGCTAATTCATTTAAAACTTTATTAAGTACGTTTCAAAAGATAATAGGCATTGCAGCCTGCCATAATTAGTTTTTAATTAGCCAAAATGTGCAATAAACAATTCGTAAATCAAATGAACTTACGACGTAATAATACTAATTTTCAATAATGTCAAATGAAGTATTAGATAAACATTAATTATAAATTAATGTCATCATTTTACAAATACAGCCGATGTCAAGCCACTTTTTTCAAAGAAATCCCCAACGTTTTCGTTAAAAGAATTCATAGCACGTCACAAGATCATCTAGCAAGCGGGCGGGCTGTGGAATGCATTAAGAATTCGGGTTGGGATTGTCGACAATTATTCGGTGTCGTCGGTGGCGTAGCTGATTTGTGGCGTAGCGCGCCGTAGCTAGACGTGCTGCGTGCCACCACGTTGCTACGAATTCCTATCTATCTATAAACGAAGAGGAAACAAAAAATAACTTTCTTTAGTCAGTTGTTTGTAAGTTTCAGTTATATAATTTTTAGATAGTCGGTAACTCAAAGATACGACAACTGTTGTAATATTTTACGGATTAGCCGATGCTTTGATATTTTTTCACATTGAAAATATTAACAATGATTGAGTTAAGTATGTATTTTTCCTCTAATTCTTGTTGTATTGTGACGTTTATTTCTTGAGTTCATGGAAACTTTAAAACATATACAAATCAATAAGCTCCTAAATGCATTAATCTAATGCTTCACACATATTTGCTGCTCTTCACTAACTAATAAGAGTATTTGACATTTAATCTGAGTATGACAGATAACGGTTAATTTTAATTGGTTAAAATATTGTACTTAACCCTGATGATGATATCATTAGTAATGTTCTTATTTGAAATATACAACACCACTGTCGTAATATAAATAAATATTTCAGGACACAACGTCCTATGTTGCTATGTAACTGATAAACATATTTAAACGTACTTTTCTTTTGTAAACGAAATCCGTATTTTAGATAGGAAGAAGGAATTCACCGCAGTAGACGAAGATTGTATGAACTTTACAGTAAAAGGTCATACAACCATTCTGAGACATTTAAAGATTATGTTAAAAATTACTCAAAAACATTTAAAAAAGTGTGTCTTGCCGCCAAGTCATTACATTTGAGAAATAAAATTAAAAATGCCTCTAATAAAGTAAAAATGACTTGGAACATTATAAATAGTGAAACAGGAAAAACCAAATCACGTAGGTCTGACTACCAACTCAACATTGATAATAAATTTATAACGACTAATCAAGAGGTAACTGAAGTATTTGAGAAATTCTTTAGTGAGATTCCTACTTTAACTACATTGTCGCTGAATTCTTCTCCTGCTGTTGCCGAGACATTACATAAGGAAAATGTAAGTGCTTGCACCACAATCTTTAAATTTCAGGCTGTATATGCAAAAGATATTATAAAAATGTTTAAGACCATTGAACTTAAGAAAACGGCAGATCTATGGGGAATGTCCGTTGAAGTGACTGCCTCAATAATAGATTCAATCGCACCTTATTTGTCAATAATTTTTAACAGTAGTGTAGATTCTGGCGTATTTCCTGATCTCATGAAACACAGTAAAGTCATACCTGTATTTAAATCCGGTAGTACTTCGGACCCCACTAATTTTAGACCTATTTCTATACAACCAACACTTAGTAAAATTTTCGAAAAACTTCTTCTAGATCAGCTGTTAACACATTTTAACTTAAATAAATTATTACATCACAACCAGTTTGGTTTTACAAGGGGTCGTTCTACAACCGATGCTAGTGTAGAGCTGATCAAACATATATTTGAGGCTTGGGAGAGTTCACAGGATGCTCTGGGTGTCTTTTGTGATCTTTCCAAGGCTTTCGATTGCGTGAATCATGAAACACTGGTCAGGAAATTGCGCCATTATGGCATTAAAAGTACCGCGCTTGACGTCATTAAGTCATATCTATCTAATATAATTCAAAAAGTTGTAATTAATGGTGCTAGTTCTTCTGGGTCGACGGTATCTATGGGCGTTCCGCAGGGCTCGATTCTCGGCCCATTTCTCTTTCTCATTTACATTAATGATCTTCCTTACTTTGTAGGGAGTAAACACGATATAGTGTTATTTGCCGATGATACATCATTAATTTTTAAAATCGATCGACAGCTTGTTACACTTGACGAGGTAAATAATGCTATGTCAGAAATAGTCTATTGGTTTAATACTAACAATTTACTATTAAATGGTAATAAAACTAAGTGTATGAAATTTTCAACACCTAATGTTAAACATTTGGGTGCTACCAATGTACTTATAAATGGGGGGGAGTTAGGCCTTGTGGATACGACTGTCTTTCTTGGAATAACTCTCGATGCAAAGCTTCAATGGGGTCCCCATATATCCAAACTTGCGAATAGCCTAAGTGCTGCAGCGTATGCTATAAAGAAAATAAGATGTCTAACTGATGTAAAAACGGCTAGAATTGTGTATTTTAGTTACTTCCATAGCATAATGTCATATGGTATTTTGCTATGGGGGCACGCGGCCGATATAGAAACAATTTTTATTTTGCAAAAAAGGGCCATAAGAACTATTTATAATCTAGATTTGAATGCATCTTTGAGAGAGAAGTTTAAAGAAATAAATATATTAACCTTAGCCTCTCAATATATATATGAAAATGTTATGTATGTGCGTAGAAATATTAATAATTTTGATAAGAATACTGATATACATAATGTGAACACTAGGAACAAACACAAGCTTGTAATGCCAGTTACTAGACTCCATAGAGTAAGTAACTCGTTCATGGGGCGGTGTATACGCTTTTACAACAAAATCCCAGTAAATGCGCAAAACCTGCCTATTAACAGGTTTAAGAAATTTATTAAAGAAAAACTTTATAAAAAGGGTTATTATAATACAAATGAATACATTAATGACAATAACCGCTTGGAATGAGTTGATCGCTCCCAAGCTATTTCTAAAAGGAAAAAAATCAGTTGTATAATATTTGAATTTTTTGTTAAGAAAAAAAAATAATTACAAAAAAGAGGATACCTTCGGAGTTTCTTTCGCCTGTTTCTTCTCCGCTAGAGGAACCTCATTACGAAACGGTGGTAGATTTAAAAAAAATATGACTATTGACAAATGAAATGTAAGTTTCTTATGTCGATGAATGAATGATTTTGATTTTGATTTTTTGAAAAAGATATACATATAAACTGTAAAATTACATTTTCAGAACGCCCTGTGACACTGTGAATTTTCAAAAATATCAAGTATGCACCATTTCGATCCCTTTACGTTATTACATATTATAAATACGTCTGATCGTAAATCATTATCCAAATGCAAAGTAAATACTTTTAGGACTAATATAACTGTATTGAACAATTTAATAGATATGATAAATTTCAACAGAACTTAAAAAATAAAAAATCTTGATTTATTCGGTAAACTTGTCATAACAAACATAACATGCACATGATATGGATAATATTGGCAACGTACCACGAAATTAAAATACTGAGTGCGAGGAGTGTTACAATAGAATTGGCATTGTTACACGTCCACCGCAAAGCGGCCGCAAACGCGGAGCCATATCGATAGCCCGAGAAGTTATCGATATGACAGATATTATCAACAATACTGTTAAAACACGCAGTCGAACCCTACACTGTGCGTGGAGACGCAATATCGGTACATATTTACCTCGCAACCTACAGACAATAACTTCTACGAACCTCTACGAGACTTAGCACCGACTTGACGTTACCATAAATAGATAAATCATTGATGTGTATTACTGACTAATAAAGACTGTGGATAAAGCTGTCCTAGCTTATGTAAATATCAAATATTAATATGGATAAAAGTTTTTCGCTGCCGCAGGAATCAGATCTGTGTGCACCCAGGCGCTTTAATCACTAAGCGTTAGCGTTCGTTTTGCGTTTTAACACAAACAATTTCAAATAACGTTTTAAAACGATAATTCGCGAAAAAAATTTTGGGCCATTTTCGTACAGTTTTTTTTTTTATTAATAAAAAAATTAATTTACGTACCTATCTAAAATTTAGTCTTAATTGCATAGACTAGCAGTAAAAAAAAGCTAAATTAGTAATGTTTCATTTTCATATCGTTATTACCATTGTAATTATTTAAAATTAATTATTAAGTGATGAGCTCTACACTGTGACCAAGTATAGCCCAC